ACCTTTCCATGTAATGTCCAACTGTGATCAGCCTCCAGTTTGCAGCTCAGGTGTGATGCTGCCAGGGGAAGAGCCGTGTTGTGCAGCCTAGCTGCCCTGGTATGCTGGCCAGTAATGTGAAAAATGAGTAGCAGAATTTTGCAATGTCTGCTGAGGCCCAAATTTGTTCCTGTTCACCAGGAAGGAGGAAGCCATTTTCACTTCAGAGAAGTGAAAGCCCGTGTGATGTTCTCTGCTATTTGTGAAAATGTTTTCTAAGTAAAGTGGTTTTATAAATATAACAAGTCCTGCGCTGGTTGTTACTTCCCAAATAGGAGTCTTTCTGTTCCCTATCGAGATGCTGGCTGCAGACGATTCCAGACATCTGCTCCTCATTTCCTGCCTTTTTCTTTAGTGTGAGAAAAGTTGAATTTGTGCGGTGCCAAACAGATTTCAGGATACACTGTCATTTAATGCTCTTCCTTATTACAGTAACAGCTCAAGAGCTCTACATTAAGCACAGGCTGAGGACATCTCCAAAATAAGAGGCCACCTTTGGCTCTAAGAAACCATCTTCTACCTGAACTACCTGAAAGGAGGTTGTAGTGAGGTGGGTGTTGGTCTCTTCTCCAAAGTAACTAGCAATAGGATGAGAGGAAACGTGCTTCAGTGGTGCCAGGGGAAATTTTGATTGCATAGTAGGAAGAATTTCTTTCCTGCCAGAGTGGTGAGGCATTGGCCCAGGCTGCCCAGGGCGGTGGTGCAGTCACCATCCCTGGAGGGGTTCAAGGAATGAATAGAAGTGACACTTCAGGACCTAGTTTAGTGGTCATAGTAGTGTTGGATTGATGGTTGGACTTGATGATCTTGCAAGTCTTTTCCAACCTTAATTATTTGATGATTTTATGATCTTCTAAGTCTGGCACTGATTGCCTTGGTCAGGATAGAAGAGGCTGTTGGGTCAGTTCTTGGCTGTCATTGGAAAAGCCTTTGGGGTTTCTCCAGATTGAGGTCTGGGAATTTGGCCCCACACATTGGGGACCAACTGTATGTGCTGGCCTCACCTTCAGTATGCGTATCACCGATCTCACACACCATGACTCACAGAGCTTGCTGCATGTGTGCTCCTCAAGAGAAACTCGAGGAGCCCAGTTCTGGTGAGTGTGGAAACTCTGCTGCAGTGGTAGTGCCTGAGTTGCCTTAAATCTAATGCACTTGGGGTGCAGTAAAGGGGGATTGTATCAGAGCAGTGTCAGATGCCAACACCATGGAGGAGAGGTGGATGTGGTGCAAGGATGAGCTGCACAAGGCAGCTCAGAGCTGGGAGCATTAACAGGGGAAAGAGAATCTGGAGTTGGAGTCCTGGTCCAGCCTGTCCCCTTTGCAGCATCAAGACCAGCTGGATCTTCCCCAAACCTAAGTTACTACTGCCTCTTTCCAGCAAGCCTCTAGGACAGATCATAGACAACACTGTGGACAGCAAAGGAATCTACCAGGGATGCTGGGCTTCGCTGCTCCAGGAAGACCAACTCCTGAGGTCTTGGGACCTCCTGAACAGATCATGCAGTGAAATCATCAGCATTCTCATGTGATCAGCTCTGGCATCTCTTTCTTCCAGGTCACATACAGTGGCTTTTCCTTTTTCTCCAGTCACAACCTGATTTTCAGGAAGACAAACCCCTTGTAACAAACAGTGTGTAGTCTTTTGTGCACAAGGAACCAAGAATAGCCCGGCACAAATTTCCAACATGGAAACACCCTGAAGGAGACTGGCCATGTTCTGGGGCCATTTCCTGTTGTTTTTTTCTTTTTTTTTTTTTTTTTTCAGACATAGCCCTTGTTATCTTTTCATATTGTTTTGCATGTTGTTTTTGCAGGCTCAAGTTGCTTTTTGCCTTTGAGAGCAATTCCCCTGGCATTAGTCACATGTTCCTTCTATCTATAAGGACTTCAGCCCTGTGCACAGATCTAGTACCTGCCTGTGAGCAGCCCTGGCAAAGCTGCAGTGGGTGGGAAATGCTGGGGATATTTTCTCATGGGGAAGGTGGGATCTGGCCCTTTGGTCTGTGGTATCTGTGCTTTGGAGCAATAAGCCAAGCACCTGGCTAATGGTTGCCAGTGTGCAACCAAAGGTTAGGGGTATGGCATCAGATCAGGCTTCTGAGCATACCTTGAGCTGTCACCAGAATCCAGTCCATGCCAGACCTTGTTCTCTCTTTCTCCATACCAGAGACAGTATTTAAGTAGCAGGACGTCCACCACAGTATGAAACTGTCCTTAGAGCAGAGCAGGATCTAGAGCCAGAGAGCCCAGACTCCATACTTGGCACTGAACTGTCTGGCATGAACCACCAAATCCTTTTGTGGATGCTGAGGATCAAGCCTGCAGCTGTGTTGGATGGCTCAGAGGTTAAAGTCTCAGCCCCAACATGGTCCCTCTGCTCACTCTCGATGGCAGGTGCACAGACCAAAGTTTGCTCTTCTTTGGTGCTACACCACCCCTTGAAAGAGAGCCTTTGAGTCCTAAGGGTAACCTCAAGAAGCCTCCTTCCAGTCTTCCTAAGGAAGAATGGGGAAGGTCTGTGATGAGCTGCCCCAGCGCGCTGTCTATACTGGAAGGATGTGATGTTCATGGTGGGCTTTCTTCCTGCTCAGTCATGGTGTGCTTGGTTTCATTTTCATACATTTTCTTAGCACAGACTGTGCTCCCTGCTTCTCAGTTACTCGGTTTTTCTGCTCTTTGTTTCCTTGAGCTGGTTGTCCCTGACTTGCAGGGCTGCACAATCCATTGCTTGGATGTTGTGATTCATGTTCATGGATTGGGATCACCGGTGTCCTCCTCTGCCTGTGCTCACCACATCTACAGTCACAGAGCCATGCTGAATAAGTACTTGCTATTCTTAGAAACTAAAGCAAATCAAGACTACAGCGATTCCCTAGAAAATTTCTATTGAAACTAAGATAGCTATAATCAACTGAAGCCTGGAGAAGACAAGCTTGGAGAAGTCCTGAGATCCTTCCCCATCAGATCAATACAACACTATGGCTTCTTGCTAGTTACAGCAGAAAATCTCCTGGCCTACAGCAGAACCTAAAGGAAGTGCATTAAGTGGCTTGTACTGTGCTGGAGGATTAGATGTGCAATGGGACAGGGAGGGTAGTGTAGGAAGTGATGATGCCAGCTGAGATCCAGGTTTGTCACTGCTCATTGGAGCTGCCTGCTCCCATCAGGGGAAATTACTGTGCCTCTGTGACTTGCTTTTGGTGGGAACCGAAGGGCTTGCTGGTGGCTTAGACCTGTGCCGTTGCTAGCACCTGAAGGCTTGGCGTGCCCCACTGCCCTCCACCTCTCTGTTGTGGGATTTTCTTGTGCAGGTGCCACCACGAAATCCAGTTGCCAGCTCACTGGGAGCAAAAGGAGGTCCCCAAGAGTGTCCTGGAGGAGTCCTCTAACCACCACCAGCCCAGTCTGTGCAGGAAAAGCAGCCACGTTACTCTGCCAAAGAGCTGTTTGTGTCTTAAAAAGAACAGTGCCTGTGGCAAATTGTAGCCTTAGCAAACAAAGTACTTGCCCTCCCGCCTTATATACACATTGGAGCCCTTCCTCAGTTTTATCTCTTGCTGGCAGTAACCCCTTTGCAGAAGCAGCAGAACCTGTTTCTTCAGGGGAGACATGAGCATGTGTGGGTTGTGCCATCACTGCCCGATAGCCTCGGGCAATTCCAGTTATTGAAGTAAAAGTTTCCTGTAAGGCTCTGCCCAGTCTGAGAAAACACTGTTTGGCAAAGGGGTCAGAAAACATTCCAAAAGACTTGGCAAATTCCGTTCTGGCTGGATCAAACAGGTTATTTCAAGTCTTTATTTTATTTCATTTCCTTGAAATGGGTTTTGTCTTCTGTTACAATGTAAGCAATGGCTGAAGTTATAGACTGGGCATTTCACCAAATTAAAAACATCATATGGAAACCTAGGGGTTTTCTCTCTTTAGGAATAAAATCCTAACTGGAGTTGCTGGAGTTTCCCATAGCACAGAGAAGCCAGGTTTCTACCACTCTAAAAAAGACTCTGGGGAAAAAATATTTTGAGGGCAGCCACACTGTCTCAGTCTTGATCTTATCTTCATCTTACAGCTGAGAGAGTTAGCAGGGGGAAATTGTTCTGTATTCTGCTGGGATCTGAGATGAAAGAAAAAGTAAAGGTGCAGGATGTGACCACTGTTTTGGTATATCCGCCTCAGAGGAGGTTGTGGGCTGGTGCCAGGAAGCCCTCCAGCCGAAGCCCTGCCATATGTTGGAGGAACCACCACATGCTGCAGACAGCATGCCCAGGGAGCAAGGAGCTGCTTGGGGAGGCCATTGGGTCCCTGCCCACCCTTTGCTCTAACGATGCTCCTAAGAGGCAGCCTGGCATGAGCTCAACCATCTAGCTGCTGAATTTATAATCCTGATTAGCAAATTCCACCTCTTTTGGCCGAACAACCAAGGCTGCTCTTATAAGATGGCTGTTGAAGCGGAAGGGAATAGCTGGTTTTGCATTTGGGGTAAAGAATGAGCTTCAGGTGCACCTGGGAATCTGTGGGTTGAAGGTGGGGAGAGCTTTACAAGCCTGACAGTGCTGCCTTAGCACAGGCTGTCTGGATGAGAGCCACATCTGCGCGACAAGAGGATGGAGCAGCTGACTCCTGAAAGTCCCTGACTGAATAATTTGCCAAAGAGGCTGGAGCTGCCCTACATCCACTAAGAAAAGCTGATGTAAGTGCAGCTGGGGAATTCCAGGAGCCGCCTAGCTCGGAAGGCAGGCAGTATTCCTTCCTTGTCCTGCTCTTCCGCCCACCTCCTGTCGTCAGCCTGAGACTCGTGCGGGGGAGTGGAATAACAGCTGAAACCCCATTTCAGGGCTTCATAATCCTGAAATGAGCTACAGCAGCTGGGGCGCTCCAGAGAATGCAATAAGCAGTTGGGAGCAGGAAATACTGCCCGTAATCCTTCCCTGTGTTCCCTTCCTACTGCTGACCCTGGGAACATGAAGGCTGTTTTTCTCCAGGTCCTGTTTCTGCTGAGGATCTTGTGCCTGGTGACCCTGGCTGGAGGTGAGCCACAGCTCTTCCCTGGGCTTCCCAGGGAGCAGCCAGGATTGTGAGGGGATGGTGATGTGTGCTGCCAGTGGGGAGGAAGGTGGTGCTGGATCGGGCTGTGGGTACCCAAAGACCTTTTGTGGGCCATGGGAAATCTCTTAGCAGGAGCAGGCTGGGTTTGGGAAGGGGCTGGGGGAGCCTATGGCAACAATCCTGGCAGCAGGGAAGCCCAAGCAGCCCCGTGATGATTTTTTTCACTCCTGGGGGAAGGTGGGGAGAGTGTTGCAGAGACTTTCTGATGATCTGTATTAGGAAAGTGATGTAGCAGTGCACCTCTTTTCCTCTTTGGTGGAAAACATTTTCCTGTTTGCTGGACAAAGATCTTTGGTATGCCCCAGCATGGTGCTGATCAGGGGCCAGAGGACCAGGAGTAGCTGAGAGCACTTCTCCTTGGGTTGGTCTTGGTTTGAGTCACCTGTGCCACAGATCAGGGATTACTGCCCCAGGCAGCAATTAAGCAGGGTGGGTTGCCAAGCTGCCAAACAGCTTCTCAGCAGCGCAGGTAAAGCTGGACTTCGCCCAGGACAAAGGGACTATCTATTCCAACCATGGGAAGGGAGAGGGGCAAAGAGCCCTTAGGATCTGTGTGCTACTGCCACTAGATGGGAAGGGTGTGGATGTCATGAAGGGCTTCGTCCTCTCCTCCCACCTCCGGACATGTTCTCCAGGGCTGTCCTGAGTAAAGTGGGCAATGGGGATTCTGGGCAGCTTGCCCTGACCTGGGAACTTGCTGCCTGCTTTGGCACTAGCTGGCTCTGTTTACCTGTGGCCAAGTGTCCACCTCCTCTAAACTGATGAAATCAGGGTGGCTCTGCAGAAAGAAAGGCTGGTGGTGCTCCCTAGCCATGGTCTCTTGAGGAACTATGCTGGAAAGCGGGTACCAGTGGCTGCCAGGACTAGTGCCTCTGAGGAGCGGTGTTCTCAGGCTGATAAACACCCAGATCCCAGGTGTCCCTCAGGCCCCTTTGGCAAAGACTCAGATGCAGCTTGGAGAAGCAGTGTTGTGTGCCCCAAGAGGAGGAGGGTCAGGGTCACACAGGGCTGGCTCCGTGCTTCCTGCAACACCATTCTCTCCTTGGAAGTCAGTTGTCCCTGAGCGGATATTCTTGACCCTAAAGTGTCACAGAAGACATTATTGTGTGAACACTTTTGCTTTAACATTACAGAGCCCTAGAAGTGTGCTCCTGCAGAGGGGCCGCAGGAGTGTTTGCTTGGGAGTTCTTTGCAACCATGGGTTTCCTCAGATCAAAAGGGCTGAGGGTGCTTCTGTAGCAATGCTCATTCTTGCACTCGGTGTCTGGATCATTCCCAACCAAACTGTATCAAATTCACCAAATTAATTTGGGAATCTGAGACAACATTTTGTAGAGACTGCCTGATCTAAACCAAACTCCATCTCCTTTCTTCAAAGGAGGGGTCAGAGCTTGTTTTTCTAAGTCTTGACCCCAGGGATGTCAGGAACAAGTTGTTAGGCTGTGCTGTGCAGCCTCTCCTCACATGGCAGATGCCTGTTGCTTAAGGCTTGGTGTTGGTGCAAGTGTTGTTTGAGGGGAGACCACATTGCTCTTTACAATTCCATGAAAGGAGGTTGTAGTGGGGTGGGTGTTGGTCTCTTCTCCAAAGTAACTAGCAATAGGATGAGAGGAAACGTGCTTCAGTGGTGCCAGGGGAGGTTTTGATTGCATAGTAGGAAGAATTTCTTTCCTGACAGAGTGGTGAGGCATTGGCCCAGGCTACCCAGGGAGGTGCTGGAGTCTCTGTCCCTGGAGGGGTTCAAAAAATATGTGGACGTGGCGCCTGAGGATGTGGTTTAGTGGTCATGGTAGTGTTGAGTTGACAGTTGAACTTGATGATCTTGGAGGTCTTTTCCAACCTTAATGATTATAGGATTCTGTTCTATGAACGAAGGACTTCCAGTGGTGTGTCTGGCTTTGCTCCTTGAAGGGGTCAGGTTGGGGTTTATGTTTACACTTTGCAAAGTGAAACCCACATTTTCCAGTGGGATGGAAAAGAGGTGTTTGGTGAGCAATTGCTGTAAAGCTGGGCTGCTGAGATGCCTGTGGGAACGATGTCACTCATTAAAAGGTTCTTTCTCTGAACCCCTTCTCCGAGTCCAAGTTCAGAGACCATACACCAGCAAAAAGAGAGGCAGGATGCTCTCCTGGAGAATTCCTACAGGGGGAATAGCTAAATGTGATTCAGATAACTAGAGGACAAACATGCTGCCCTTGGGTATGCACCTCTGTACCAAGAGCCCATTGGTGATTATTGTAGCAGGTCTTTTGGGGGGGAAGAAATGTGTCTTCTGGGCACAGTGCTGAGAGCTGCCCTCCTGTGACCCAAAGGGGAGATAAACTGCAGGTCCAAGTGCTTGCATGGAGGCCCTCCAGACAGTGTCTGCAATAAAGCACGTGCAGCCATGCCCCAAGAGCCCCACAATTTTCAAAATGCTTTTTTCACAACTTTTTGGATATCTTATCAGCTGTTTGGGTGATACAAACAATTGTGGTCCTGGTGGCATTGGTCTCCATCCCATTTTAGTGAGATTAGAAAACTTTCATGGCAACCTTTGGAATCCTTCTCCCCAGAGAAGGGGAAAAAGAAAATATGCAAGTTTTTATAGTACCTAATAAAAAGACAATGTTTAATATGTTGAAAACATTATTTCAGGGCAACCCAAAGCACCTCTGAAGTGCTCAAGCGTGTGCAGCTCATTTGCATCTAGGATAGAGGAGAAGCGGATAAGGAGCTACCACAGGACGGAACCTCACTGCTCCAAACAAGCCATCATGTAAGTGTGGCCCCATCGCCAGCCTGGTGGATGTCCTGGTTGGCAGAACAGAGCAGTGGAAGCAGGCAGGGTGACAGCACAAGTGCTTCTGTGAAAGAAGGTTTTTTCTTTGGAGAGAGATGCAGACTTGTGAGTTTATTTGGACGTGAAGAAAGCTACGTTTTTACTCTAGGATAATTGTTTTCAAATTACCCTGAAGATGGGGCATCACTGAGACTACGTTATTGCGGCCCAGGATGTTGTTCCAAAGTGAACCTGCTGTGCTGACCTTTGAAAGTCTCACCTCACTCAGTAAATTAGAGGGGTTTGTCTTCATGTGTGTTTGCCCCTGGGCAGCTGGTGCTGTGGAGCTTCCTGCTCTGAGCGCTGGAGGAAAATGCTGCATCCATACATCAGGACAATGATTTTGAAAGAGAAAAAACTTCCCAGGGGAAAACCTTTCACCCATGAGTCATGTTCAGCTGATCTTCATTCAGTCAGATCTCAGAGACACCTGCCCTTCCTGAAATAAATACTGCATCCAGCCTGTTGGTGCTTACCATTGGCTTGAGCCAGTGGTGCTGTCTGTGTGCCTTCCCTGTCATGCCAATCATCTAAAGCAAACTCTTTTCATTTTCAGATTTATTACTCTGAAGTCCCGGAAGATTTGTGCAAATCCGGAGGCAGAGTGGGTGAAGAAGATTGTAGAGAAACTTGATCAGGAAAAAGCTGTAGCCTTCCCATTTCCCCATGACGCCGCTTCAGCAGAGGCACCAGAGGAGCCTGGTGTTTTTCAAAAGCATGTTGGACTAACAGGTCCATATCAAGCCACTGCTCCAACTAGTCCCTTCCAAGGGACTGGCACAACAGTTTTGGAGAGAACACATGATCATGTTGCCAGGACGGAGGTGTCCAGCAAGCTCCCACCAGCCATGCAGGACACAACACAGCCCCCTGAAGGATCAGTCCCTGTAATACAGCAAGTTGCTGCCTACTCTGAAGTCACTCCAGAAGCAAACAGAGATTCCTTAAAGTCTCCTGTGCTCTCAACAACATTTCCAGGAGGCATGGTTTCCAGCCAGGCCACCACATATCCCACAGCTCTTGTGCATAGCTTGGACAACACCATAGTATCTACAAAAGAACCTGTAGGACATGCTGCCTATGCTGTGGCTGATGTTCAAGACACAGCTTCTCCTAGCTCAAATTCAGACCCCATTGCAATTACTGACCATCCTGTACTTTCTACAAATGAATTGCTGGACCCTACAAGAGCAAGAGCCAACACACCAAACAATGCTTCTAGCAGTTCTAGTTCAGATCTCCCTTCCGTCCTGGACAGCATGGAAATCACCACAGTCCCAACCACACCAGTTCCACCGCAGACTCCTTCAGTTTCTGCTCTAAACTCCACAACTGCCATAAACAGAGGTCCTTCTGTCCATACCAATAAGGTTGTCAGTTCCTCTGCAGATCCTTTTGGTGGCAGAACATTTGATTATTCATCACCTTTAGGAAAGCGAGAGCCTTCAGAGACATTGATTTTTACTAATCAAGCATACTCAGGCCAAGCCAGAGCGCAGATGACTACAGAAAGATCAAAGGACCTGCCTCTTCCCAGCTTCTTGTCAAGACCTCAAATGCACTTTGTTATCCCAGTTTCTGTGGTAGGTGGACTGATGGCTTGCAGTGTTGCTGCTGTATGGCTATATCTAAAATTTGGAGTCAAAACAGAAGAAATGTCAAGAGAAACGGTACAGGGTTTGCTCTGTCACAAGGAGGGACAGGGGAACAGTGGCTATCCAATGGAAGTAATCTGACTGCTTCATGTTGTGGACATTTTTTGCCTAAACTACATGTCTGTTGCTGCAGGAAATTTAAGTTTATGCTAAACTGGTGACTGGTAGGAAGCAAGGCAAGCAATAAAAATACCGGAGAAAACTTTTTGTTTGCCAGAGGAGATCGTCAAAAAATATATCTAATCTGTCATTGACCATGACAGTATTTTGGAAATAAATGAGATGCTTTCCTTCTTCTGGCACTGTTACATGCAAAGGCCGTGCTGTCCCGGAGCTGCTTGGAAGCTCTGCGAGGTGGTAGGCAGAGGTGAATTTCCAAAGTGTTGTTGGGAATTTTTCTATGTTTCTTCATGCCCCAGCTGAGAAGCCAGCCATTCGCCCATGCTGCTGGACTCGGGCTCAGCCACCTTGAGCAATCATAATACCAAACCCACACAATTTGCACTTAAACACTCTGCTGCTTCTGTCTTTGCACTGCAGGTGGCTGCTCTGTCAGATGGAGGCTGATGCTGGTGGTCAGCTGGGTGCTGGTTCTCCTTGAGCTGATCAATAACCCATTTACTCTTGCTGGAGACTCAAAGGCTAGTCTAGCTTTTCAGAGGGATGTGATGGAAACCACAGCTGACTAGGGGGCTGGAGGTCAGTGCTACTGATTTCATGTTCAGAGGAGCTGGTAACCCATGATCTATCTTCTCCTTGAGATCAGGCCATCTTCAACAGCTATGGGCATTTCTTCTGGAAGCTTTAGTCTGAGACCTGGATCTTGGCAAATCAACTAAAATAAAACCCCTCACTCAGCTGATGTGTCCTGTGTCCAGCTGCATCCAACACCAGGGCAGGATAATGTGGATGAGCTTTTGCAAATGGGAGAAAACAAGTCATCCAATAACTTTGTTATTCCTCTGATAGCACTGGAGGGTTTTTGCTGTTCTTTACAAGCCCAAAACCCAGGAAATACTCTCTTGGAGGAGCTAAAGGCAACTGTGCATTTAGTTATATAGGAATTACTCCACCACAGCAGATGTACCATCCTTCTGGTTGCAGATTCTCTCTAGAAATAAACATATTTGCTGATCTACAAAAATGCACAAAATACATGTTTGTGGTCCTACATTTCAGCTGCATTTTAGTTTATGTTTTGTTTGTTTTTTTGATAGCACTGATCCCCAGGCTATTAAAGCACCATAACAGTGTCAGTTTTTTTTTTTTTAACACAAATTGATTTTGATTTTCACACATCTAGACATTACTTTTATCTTTTGCATTATCTTTGATCTGTGGTCAGTTCCTGAAAGCCCTTATGAAACATAGACTCCAGTATGAATTCTTCTGGAGTGTGCAAAGGCCTTCACAATATGATGCTTTGTAGGCAGAGACACATATCAAAGGTCAGATCCCTATCTAAGCAATGTCAGTGGATCAAATCACAGAGTATAAATATGCATATAGAAAAAAATGGAAGCAAAAATACATAGTAAGGAAGACAATCAAATAAAAACCAACTGGCCAGCTGTAATGCAGAGCTAGAGGAAGGTGGCCTATCAGCTCCATCAGATCATACCTTCAGGGCATACACCCAGCCACGAAGGTATAGGATAGATTTGCAGGTGTTGGTTTTCTGCCACCATTCATTCCCTTATTTCTGCATTCTGTTGACTTGAGAGAAGGGAGCCAGGGATTCAGCTTGCTTTGCAAGTACAGATTGTTTCTAATTAGGAGCTGCGGGTGTGTGAAGCCCTTCCTTGTGCAGCCCAGCAGTCTAACAGTGGCTGGGGTTGAGTTATGTGGATGGTAAATCAGGGACTGTCAGTGTTGTTCCCTACCCACTTCACTCATGCATGGCTGAGGCTTGTGGCCTTGCTGATCTATGGCATTAGTTTTATATGAAACACTAAAAATACTAATTTTGTCGTAAAATTATGTAGCCATTTGAATGTATGTTATGTCCTGTTCTTGCTACTGGAGCATCGTGGAGTCCAGACCTTTTTGGGAAAACATGGGAAAACACTGTGCCTTCTCTGTATCCTTGCTGGTCTTGGATTGTCCATGGCATGTCCATGGGAGCTTGGTCATTCTCTAGGCACTGCAGTAAATGGAGTGGACGCCTGTCTTGCTAGAGGTGAAGTCCTCAGCTTGGAGCAAATGTGCACCAGATCTGATCACTTTGAGTCCCACCACAGTACTTACAAAGGCACAAGTTTCAGCTCCATGGTTGGCTCCTCTGATGCCATGGTCATGCTGGCACTCATCAGCAGGAGCTGATCCAAGCTCCTACAGCTTGGGTCCATTCTTGTGCTTGTCTTGGTCCCCTGCCCTGGTTCTAAGCTGTTTACAGGCAGGGCCCTGGCACCCCTCGTGGGGGGCAGTTGAAACCCAGGGTGGGAAGGGGTGGAACTGCTGTGTGATAGGCAGTATGGGAGGGCACAAGGTAAATTCTGGTGCAGTAGGATGGAGCTTGTGGGTGTCACTGGTTCATGTGGCTTAAAAATGTTATTTTCTGTAAAGCTCAGTGACTGTTAAAAGCTCTGTTTGATTTGTGTATTGAGTACATATATGACTCTGTGTGTGTGAGAGATATGTGTTCTGTATTTTTTTCTAGAAATCAAATAAAGTCCTTATTTTAAAACTCTTGTGCTCGGTGGATTCAGCCCAGGGCTGGGTGACCGAGCCTGGTCCCTGGAGAGGTGTGGAGATGAGTGCATTTTATTAAGCACCATGGGGGGAATCTCAGCATCTCTGAGAGCTGACAAAGCCAGTGCAACTAGTCAGACTATTCCTCCACAGCTTCACTGTCTTGCCAAAAATTTGCAGGGAGTATATTTTCTCTCAGGGAGTTGCATTTCCCATCCTGCCAAGACAATACTGAAAAAACATTTGGGTTTTTGCTTTCTTTAAGCAAAGCTACAACCACACAGTAACCTACAGAAAAAAACAAATGTTATGTTCTGAGCCTGTCCTGTAAGTGGCCAAGGGTTGAGGCAGGACCTCCTCTCACTCCAGCAGGGCTTGGGTTGCCCATGTGTCGTTCTCTCTAGTGTCAGGAAGGCGAGGTGGGAAAGGCAATGCAATAGAAGAGTCAATGCCCAGTGACTTGCCTGGAGTGAGGAGCTGGAAGGAGCAAGGAGATCAGGGGTCAGCATCTCCCCTGCATCCCAGGAGCCCTTGTCCCAGCCATGCCTTTACCCTGTGGTGTGCAGCCACCCTACCCCATGCTCTGGCACCACCAGCATGCTGTGAAAACTTCCCCCAGATGAGTCACCAGGCCAGAAAGGTCATTTAGGAGATAAGAAATCCTTTGGAAAGAAAAATAGCTTTTTTTTTTTTTTTTTCCTTTTTTCTCCTCCTCTTTGTTAGAGTCAGAGAGTGTGGGAGTGCTGTGTAAACAAGCCAGCCGCGACACTGGTGAATCATTTCCCACACTCAGAGTGGGTGCAGGCACTGGTGGGGGGCCCTGACGGAGCTTTTGGATGCCTGTTTCCTTGGCTGACTGGTGGCACATGGTCACCAGCTTTGCTGCTCCTCCCTGGCTTCTCTGTGTCTGACAGTCCAGGAAAAGACTTTGTGAGAAGGATGTCCAACTGGGCACCTTCCTGGCCTCTTCCTGGAAGCCCATGGGCTGCCTCAGGTGTAGAATTTGGCCCAGAAGAAAACTAATGCCAAGTTTGTCAAGTCCAGGTGGAACAAAAGTTGTCTTCTGTACCTAGTGTGAAAGACAGGTGCTTCTCCTTCGAGGTTTTCCCCCAGTTTGCAGGAGACAGGGTCCCATGGTCATGCTGTGCCCACCCTGGTCCCTTGCTGACGTATATCTTTGGTTTCAGTTCCATATTAGTGCAAGCCCTCTCCACTACTTTGTTAGCCAGCTGCTTATGTTGACCTTATGAGACCAAGGAGTCATTGACACTCCACACAAGCTCACCTCCATGCCTTCACAACCCCACAGGATTCCTCAGAAGTCACGATGGCAGGCCTTGAGGGCACTCGTTGGCTTTAACCACACTGCCTCGTCTGTGGATGGACTCATCCAACCACTCCTGTTCCCCCTCGCAACCCCACATCTCCCCTCTGCCCAAGGCCCACAAGCCCCATTTAATCCCAGGCCTGAGTCTCTAGGCCTTGTTTTGAATGTGTTGTAGAAGTGCTGCTCTGATAGCCTGTCTCTGGCCCTGCCTCTTGGATAGGCCTATGCTGTAGGTATCTTGTCTCCTGGCTGGCTGGGTCTTTTCATTTTGTAGCCCTCCCTCTGTCCACGTGTCCTTCTGCTGCTGAGTGGCCACCCTCTAACAATCCTAAATGGCTCCTGGATCTTGTTCCTCACTTTAGCATGACTGGGACCATTGACAGCCCCTGTTGCCAGCACGTGGCTCTGTGTCCCATGCTCAGACACTGTGTCACCCCTCAGCTGCTGGGGTCACCCTTGGCTCCTGTGTTGTCCCCTCTCACTGCTCCCTGCAGTCTAGACCGGAAAGTGAGATACCTCTGCTACTGTCTTATCCAAGTCCTGGCTTCTCTCCAGGGTGACATGGGAGGCACGATTATTGCTGTGAAGCCCTCTCTGTCCTCTCTGGTTTGAGACTTGGACTGTGATGTACAAAATGTCTGTCTCTATTCAGCGTGGTGGTTTTTCTAAGAAATGCTGAGTAAGCGTGTTTGTGCTTGGGGCAGCCTCTGGTCAAGTGAACAGACCACCTCTTTCATAATGCTGGCTTATCAGAGTGCAGGATGTCCCCTTGGCTGCTTTGGCTCCGCAGTTGCAGTGCAGTTCTGCTTTGTGGCTGTGGTTCTTCCATGCTTCGTGTAATGTCCACTTTTATGAGGATTTTCTCAATGTTTATGTCACTGCAAGGGCTGGTCTTGTAGCTGAAGTCTCCGCTGGATAAACCCAGAGGAGCTACAACCCTCAGAGGGGCTGTGCTTAATGTTACAGAGGACAAGAAAGCTTCCTGCCCCTGGAAGCAGGGCATGAGAGGCTGACTTCATGGAGTACAAGCAGCAGGCACCTGGCCAAAATGGCCCAAAGGAGC